GTGTTTTTATCACCGTTCTGCACTGTGACTGCATCTGTGTGTGTGTGCGTGTGTATTTAATGGTCGTTCACTGTGTGCTGGACACTGTAAATAGAGTTCAGTTATATTTACACAGACACAGGAGGGATAGCATCCTCTGCTGAGAGGCTGAAACCATTTACTGCCCTGAATGCTGCACCGGCTGAAACGTTCAGGCTGTCAGACACCTGGCTCCAGCCATACGCTCCAACCACGGACTGAAATGTTCCCCCTGGTCTCCTACCATCTCACTGGAGTTCTGCCTTTTGTTTCCACTGCCATTCAGAGCAAGATGTTTCCGTTTCGATGGCTTTATAACACACTGTAAAGGGCTCAGAGTCCACATATTTGAATAATGTGTTTACATGTTTTAGAAAAGTCCCCGGCACGGGTTTTACATGTTATTTTTATGTTTATGATGTGAATTAAAAATAAACTAACAAAAAAAGCCTCTAGATTTCATAGTAAGTTATGTTTCTATGACTTAAATATTGTTTTTTTTTTTTAATGCTGCTTTGAATCTTTGAAATGTAAAGAAAAGTCACTAATAAAAATTATCTCTCTTGAGAATTGTCTTTATGTCATGTTTTTGGAATAAGCAATTTAAGGAAAGTCCAACACAAAGTGTCATGAAGGGTTGGTAAATGGATTGTGTGTTTTCTCATGACATGGCTGCTTCAAGATCAATATAACACATTTCATCAACAATGGACCAAATAGTCCTAGTCATTTTCAGGTACGCAAAACGATTTTAAAGAAAAGGATATGGTCACATAAATGCCCAAATCTGGGAGTCTGGAGAGGAATGATGACTTTACTTAAGATTTTGGTCAATATTAACACAAAGTGTCAAAATGGTTCAATTGAGGAGGATTTTCTTTTCCCAGACGCCTCCTCCGGCCGCTCCCGGCCCTCCTCCCCAGAGGAGGGGCTTTTCATTCAGCCAACCCGGGACAAAATGCCTGGAATTCCATTTCCGCTTTAGGG